AGATCCAGGCCATATGGAAAGAACTTCGAATATCTCATTACGATGAAACCATAAACATGGCTCCATAGTTGGACAACATGGGGAAGATCCTCAGGAATGCACTGATCTAACGTGGAATAAACTTTCTGAGAGCTATGCGCGAACAGCTCAGCCTTGTCCAAGTCATCAACTGCAAAATAAGAGTCATCAATCGCTTAAGCAGGCGGTCTATTCTTTTCTTTTGAACGCTTATGTACCTGTACAAGCTAGATCCATCCCTTGATTTTATTAGCCTGCGCTCGAGGTTTGAATAAAACTTTGCAATGGACTCATCAAGCTTTTTATTGTCAGCACGATAAGAGGTCCAACAAGAAACGCTTCGCTCTTGAATGACAATATCCCGAAGTTTGTCACGTCTCGAAATCATTCTAACCAAATATGCAGGGAGATGTGCCCGACCGCGCTTGAATCTGCGATACGATACCTGTTATACTAAGGAATCAGAACAACAGAATACGAGATCAAGACACGAGTCCCCCTCTGGTAGGGTTCAGAAACAATTATCTGAAATTATGCGTGCGGAACATAGCAGTAGTTTTATGCGAAGGGGTGCTTTCAGAGAAATCATCCTCCCAGTTGATATGAGGCATGTTAAAATTACCGAGAAGTCACTATCGTTTGACCATTGTAAGAGCTAAAATCGCTGATAGCTTTGAGTAACAAGGAAGTCGCATAAGCGCTACAGGACGGTGCTCTATAATTTAATATAATCCTGACAGACAGGGAGGTAAAAAAGGTATCCATAACTAGAATTTCGTAAGCACCTTGACCGACTCTTTAAAAACGACATTGTAAGCCACAGATTGTTTCAGCTAGATGAGAACGCCTCCACCCTTCTTATGAACACGATCGCACCTAACGCTATTATAACTCGAATTTGCAACACCTAGAAGAGAGCATAATTCAACATTGGAATTAAGCCAAGAGTCTGATAGGAAAACCAAGTCGAAATTTTTTGAAGTAGGAGCGTAATAACGAAGTTGCAATTTTTTACAAAAGATCTGACGTTAGACAACATGCACCTAGTCCTGACTTCACGAGGCCGATGAGCTATGAGAGGTTTCCCGCACGAGCATTGCTAGACACATTGTGTGAAATATGTACAGAACATTGTGTGAAACTCAATACAGAACATATGCACTGGTAGCCATGATTCGATCTTTAAACAGAATTTTGAGATCGATACTCTGGTACCCCAGCTATGACGATAGAGCGATGCAGATCAGCATCGATTGCGGGAGAAGTATTAGAGGAGATCATACGAGATTTTCCATTACCAACATTTCTTTGATCAGACTCGGAAAACGTGTGAGATGACATCAAAGTATTGATCTGATTTCTCAAAGATAAGTTTTCTTCTCCAAGTGATCTGTTTTCGGCTAAGATCTTACGACATTGACGAGCCAGGTCCGCCAACTCCTTCTTCGTGTCGAATAGAACATCAACAAGCAGCTTGCAATACGGCGGCAATGTTTCTTCAGAGAAAAGCTCTTTTAAACCTCCAGTATTAGAGGGTCATTGTGGTGATAAGTCCAAACGCGACCGCTCCACTGCAACGGACGATGAACACAACGGAGTAGTTGCCATGAGTAATCAGAATCGAGTAAGACAGAACGGAATAAGAGTTTGTAGACAATAGCAGGCAGCTTCGCAGTATATCAGAAACGGAATAACACAAGCGGACGGCAGAAGGAAGTACATGAAGTAGCCCGAATCTAAGGCAAGGAGAGCACGGCAAAGCCGACCGCACAGGGTGCCTGATCGATCAAGAATGTTCAGTTCATACCAAGGCTATGGAAAAGCTCGCGGATCTGCCATCTTTTTCTGGAATGACCGCCTCTGGGAATCTATAGTCCATCGAAGAGGAGGTACATTTGGCGATTCTTCAAATAGTGTGCTCCAATCGCAATGCACGCGCGACCTGGCCGATCTACGGACAACTCGAATTCGGCCCTTTAAACCATCTCGATTTTATGCTCTTGCCTGCGCTCTCTCGCCTGAACGACGGCTTGTGATTATTGTGATCTAATACATCCAAACTTTGTCACAGTTTACTTGGCCCACCCACTTCGGAGTACCTCCTCCCTCCATGGCTTAGTCTTAGGCACACCTTCCTGCTTGAGATTTCTAGCCGACCCATGCGCTGTTCTCTAATCGTCTGTGCTCTGGCCTTTTGCAGCAAAGAACATAGGGGAGAGTTCAAGTAGTCACATAATCACGCAGCCGTAGATAGTAGTCCGTTATACTGGAGCGCGAGACTATTCAACTACCTGCAGGCAAGTTCTCGAAGGAGGAGCCAGTCTTCACGAAATCAAATTTAACACGTTGACGACCGTGTGCTGTGATGTCACACCACACTCTTTCGGCCGCGTGGGACCGTGTGACATGATATCATGTCACGGCCTTTTTTAAACAGCTTTTCCAACATTTTAGGTAACTTATTTGTGTGATGTACACACCATCCTGAACCACTGTTATAAAAGGCGTAGTCCTTGGGAAGAGCTTCGGGTAATGGGCCTTTGAGTTTTCCAAAAAAAATTTGAATAACCATCAGTGAGTGGCCGCACTTTTTGTGCTTAGGCTGAAATTAATCTGTACAAAAAATTTTTGCAATAACAATTTGCTACAATGATTAAGGACACTTTTGGTCGAAGGTGGACATATGCGCTTCATTTGATTCTGCTTAGTTGTAGCCGCTTCTGCGTTGTCTGTGAACGTTTCCCTTTGCCTATGTCCCTCCTTTCCCGCAATTCTTCGAGTTTGTGAGTGGTTTTCGACATAAAGGTCCGCTTGCTACCCAACAATCATTGTATAAGCTCAAGATTCAGGGGCCAGGAAGTGACTCTAGGTGTGCACCTCTCAATCGCACATTAGCTTTAGCCTTTTTTACGTGCTCTCAAATCGCAGGAATAGCTGAAGTGGCCAAGGTCGCAAAATTCAGACCTACCACACAAGAAGGATAACAAATAAACAGCTTCCCAGAAAGTGTTCTCATGGGACCGTGTTACATGATGTCATGTCACATTGGCGCGGTCAAAATAATGCGCGCGGTCCCAGAAGCCAGACAGCTAAAACGGGCGCGGACGTCAACGTGTTAAGATCCGAGCCACAGAGCGTTTGCGTGCATCTAATGCTAACATTTGCTGCTATAAAACCGGAAGTGCGCTGAGTGAAAGGGGTCGTAGCGGAACCATGGTCAACCGTGACGTTCGCACTTTTCAGAAATTTCGTGACCCCCTCCCTTAGGGAGGTCTCAATGCGACCGCCATCATGACTGTTGCTATAGTATTCGATTCTGAGATCACTCGACACACCCCAACTCCGTCTACTTTTCTTCCAAAACAGCCGTTGAGCGGGGAGGGAGTATACATATTAGTAAATTACTGATATTATCAGTGATATTATTAGTGTATACATATATTGATGAAACGGTAGATTTTCGTGAACTTTCTGTTTTCTCTCCTCCCACCTCTCACCTATCCTGCCTCACACTATGCGCCAATCCACCAAATCCCTTAAAAAACCTAAATCGCCTCACCATTCACTCAACAAATTACTATTCCCACTCAACCCCTGAATGCCCCCTTCCCAAAACCAACCACAAATGCGACAACTCGTTCGAATAATGCGAACGCATGTTCGACCCTTATAGGAATCTCCGTAAACGGGAGGGTCAGGCGTCGCCATTTCCTCGACAAGATTTTTATCCTGTACTTGGACCATCGCAAGCCCAAAAATGTGAAAGCACCTCAGCAGTATTCCCACTCTATCTGAAGTGAGTTAGAAGTGTATTTTAAATGAGTCGATTACGTGTCATAAGCGCTCTTATCCTTATGCTTCGTAACGGTGAGCACAGTGAAGCCCCCCCCTCCCGACCTAAGAATATCATAATGGCCTTCTACGTGGGCGACATCAGAAGAATCTGCCACAGAAACATGCACGAGTCAAGCCGAACATTACCATGAACACCGTCATAGTAAAAGTGCAACGATGGAACCAATGAAGTAGGACAAAGGGATGCATCGTATTCAAATGTGGGCAATTATATCCACAAAAGTCCACAGAAATCAAGCAATAAGAAAAGGTAAGCAAATTATTGGGGGATGTGGTCATAAATTGCTCAGAATTGAGATTGAATTGCCTGCAAAAAGGCGATTATGCGTTCAATGATGGCAAAATGGCTTAAGACGGAGGACCTTCAAATAAAGTGGAACACGCATGAATACGTAGATTAAAACTAGCTTAAAAAGCTTGAATCCTTGAAACCATAACACACCAGTTTAAAACTGATACTCACACATGAGTGGTAGGCCAATTGATGCGGGAGAGGTCTCAAATGCCATTTGCCCTACAACGACACGCACTCAGAAATTCAACGGAGCTATGGGAACAATAGAGGTCAGTCGGCCATTTCATTTCTTCTGCACTAGCCATCAATTAAAGTTGATTGCTGAAATCCACAACCGAGCCGTTTCCTCTACCAATGCGTGATTACGCTATATTCTATAACGCAGAGGTTAGGACAAAGAAATTTGAACAAATCCCATCCACTCTGCAAAGACTCTTTTTCTCAAACCGGCTCAATGATACATAATTCTGATTCCTAATATTCCGAATTGGGAAGTTGAAAGCACAGAGATGCCAAATACGCATTCAAACGCCACTAAGGTTCTAAACGAAAGTCAAAACGTGGCGCATTCCAAAACAAGTTTAAGCTTGCTATCCCCGGGATCGGTTTACTGGTATTATATCCATCCGAAAAAGGCACTGAGTCACACACTGGAAAGTCAATGTATAGTGCACATACCTATTCAAACGTCACTGCTGTTTCAAAAAGGACATGCCGTGGCGCATCCCCAAAAAGAGGTGATCAATATTTCCCACGTTTCCCCCAGTATTCACCATACGAGGCATTTCGCATGAAGTCCAATGAATGTTTAGAAAATTCTTTATTGTCAAATCTAAGACACTTTCAAGCATTGAAGAGCGACGGCTGGTCGCAGCACCATGTAGACAATCAGGTCAGTGAGTGAAACAAGAGCCTGAAAACAACCACCTTATTCGGCTGAGTATTTGCAATGCTTTATAAAATATTCAGCTGTTTTTGCATTGGTGAGAATAGAATAGTGTAAGAATGGTGTTTCGAGAGAAGGCTCTATTGTTCCTGTGTTGTGATCTCGAAAGGGCAGCACCACTGCGAAAACCTTTTCCGCTCAAAAGGAATGATGACTGACCTTCAACCTAAAACAATCGTCGACGAGAAATACACGTTGTACGTTCTTCTCAACAAACGTCTCAACCAAATCCAACATTTTCACGTCTTCTGGTGCCGTCACCACACCGTCACGATCACCCTATAAAACATGTGCTAACACGTTGTAAATAAATATGAAGAAAATTCCATGCATAATAATAAATTTAATTCCGTAAACTGTCAGTTCATGAAAATAACTCTCGAGAAAAAATGCACGATCTTCTCATTGATGCATGACATCATATAACCCTGGAAATTTTAATGAGCCCCATGAGGATTTTTGTTATAAAAAAATGAGCATGAAACATGTGATGCTTGCAACATATTGGCTCGGCAAAAAGATGGTGAGTTAGCCCCAAACGGACTCATTTCTGCAGTAAGTGATCAATTTTGTAAGCAAAATAGATTTTCATGGGTCCTGTCGGTGATTATTCGCTGATATTTGCCAAGCGGGTCCTTATGTATTGATATTATAGAAAGGCGCAGAATATGTAATATTAGTGGCACTTCGTCCACGGATAGGGAAGGAGGGAGAACTTGCAAGCGCAGTAAGCGAGCGCGAAACGCGCTGCTGTCGTTGCATTGATGGAAATTTATGAGGGAGGCTAGGGCTGCTGAACCTAAATGCAAGAAAAACCAAAGGCCTTCAAAAAGGCAGACCATCCTTTCGTTTTGTGCCTCTGTTAGACGCGTTTTCTTCAGCCGGTTGGCATTGAAGAGTATAACGAGCACTGTGGATAAATGAAGCTTAAAGGTAACTATGTACAAATTGTAGGCTTGACTACCAGCACAACACTATTCAGATCAGAATGGCTGGCTTTCGCAAGCTAGCGTCAAAGGGAACTGATATTCAAATGTTCCTGGGGATCTTAGCAAAAGAGAGGTGCGAGGCGCTCTGAAGTTGTTAGAACCATACGCTTGAATTTAAATTTTCGCGAGCAACAAAAGTTGGTATCCTGATGGTTTAGGACCAAATCAAAATGCAAAGGAATGCAGTAACGTGAAAGGAATGATTTCTCGATGCTTAACAGAAAACCTTTACAAACTAAATGCCTAAGAGTACGCTATCCTTCAGTGTGGTCAATTATGATGGAAGCTTAGGAAAACCTCGTATCTCGCGAATAACTCATGAGTTAGTCGCCCAGCTCTCGCCCAGCTCAGCGCCCCACCCACTAATTTGCTTGATCACTTGGACGAGCTGTGTTGCCAGCACCGACAGAACTGGAGCAGCTCCGACTGCAGTATGGTTTGGTATTGTGCAACCAAGTGCGCTGCGATATTCTTTCAATCGTTCTGTCTTTATTCCCCAAAGTTGCTCGCTTCAACCCGATTCTTCCAATGCTTCGCCTGATCCGTGAACGTCCCATAGCGCACTTTCTTATATGCGTCCCCTTGCCTCCGCCCGACCTACCCGCGACCGTCCCCAGAGCAGTAGGTCTGCTTCTCTTCAGAAACTATACACATGCGTGAAATTTTTTACGTATCAACTGGCGTATTCATATTGAGATAGAATGCAAAAATTTTCCTTGAACTATTCCTTTAAAAGCGAATAGTTTGAAAATAATCAATAACCTTTGCTTAATGAATTTTTGAAACTCGACTCTCACAATTTTGGGACACCATGTATTACTTGTTTGTCGAAAAATTGCTTGAAACGGGTTTTGGGAGACATGAGATTTTCAGTTTCATTCACTGCATTAACACGTTGACGACCGCCGTTGTGCGCGTACTGCTTCAACATTTTTCCAATTCCCTCATTGGTAGGCATTAATACTTCAGCGTTTTCAGTATCAGTGATGAAAAATTGTTTTTTGAATCCAATAATGTACATGGATCGTTGTAAGGCAGGAAAAAACGCCAAATAAAAAAGGAAAACTAGTCTGCTCAATGCGAAAGTGTGGTATGACATCATACCACACGGTCGTCAACGTGTGAAAAAAACTGGCACTAAGATGATGACGTCAGTAACAACATAATAGGGGCAAGAAAGAAAGGAAGTTTATTGAGAGAGTTCTGAAATGCCACTTACGCATATTCTTTGCCGTTGCCGTATCGCTTCCTCAACCGTAATAGACATGTCGATAGTTCTCGAGAAAGCAGCAGCAACCGCATCGAATCGAGTGTAAACATCGACGATCTAGAGCGAGCAAAAAGTCTTAGTGTCAAAGAGAACTATCAAAGTCAATAAGAGTGATTTTCCCAGAGGCCTTGTTTTACTACTACGCTTTCATAAGACCTGGGCCTATTAAGTACATCACTCATGTTCTCCCCAATGTGACTCAGATGTAGCTTGCAGCGTTAAGCTTCGGCAAGAATTGTCGAATGGGTTGGTAGATGGAGAGGAGGGGGCGGGGGGGGGGGGTAGTTATAGTGAAAAAAACGTCAACGGAGTCGCGTGAAGAACGTTTTCGATAGACTTGAATGCACGAATGAATACTATTATTTAAGGTTTCCGGAGGAATTTGGAGTGGAGTTCCTACCTTGATTTTTTACCAAACGAAGGAGGGGAGAAGGCGCTGATGTTAAAGGACGAATTCACGATGAAAAGCAACCCATTTTAAATTAACCTAGGAATGAGGAGTGGTGCAAGAAAGAAGGAAGAACCATGAGAAACGGCTCAGAACCCTAGAAATGGTACCCCTTCCTTGCCCGTTATTCAAGCATTGATGCGACTCTCATCGTTGTGTCCCCCTTCAACACTACGCTCTCTCGCCTATCTAATCACGCGCCACGTATTGAACTACGTGAGTGATCAGAGGATCGGTGGGCGGAGATCGCCGGACCCGCCAGCTTTGAGGCATGATAGGTCGCCGGGGTCAAATTTTTCCATGCGAATTGCGCGTCAGTTCGCACCCTCAGGAAGTCCGTGTGACCCTCAGCTGGGTCACACGGATCAGTTTCCCTTTCTTCGACCTTCATTCTAATCGTGAATTCCTCCTTTAAGAGAAGAAGGGAGGGCTGTACTTGGATGCTTTCTGGTCACCGTGCTCTACACTAGTTGCTAGTCGTTCACAGATTTCTATAACCTAGCTATGAATAAATTTTCTAATCAACACCATTGATACGCCCAGTAGTAAAACTACTGGTATCACCGTATGCACTTGCAAGCCTAGAAAGACTTATTGCGCGATTGAATAGGTGGAGGTTGTTGCGCCCAAAAATACCAATTGCACGTATCTATGGTGGTAGAAACATCCAAACAAGGTCACCAAATCGCCTCAATGGCACATCCAGAATTTGACAGCTAACAAAAACACACCTTCATCGTTGACTCGTCGACAATAGGAACACCGCTAATACTGTTGTCTATTATCATGTCTAGCACCTCAAGAAGTGTCATATCTCGAGTGGCCTGAATGAAAGAATAATTTCAGGTGAAATTATGAAGCAAACGAAGACTGCTGAGTATGTTGCTTAGGTACAAAGACAAACACTCACATAATGTATACCCGTGTAGGTCCCGACTTTGAGATCAGATACTCTTTCATACATGTAATCGGGTCGTGAAAGACAAGAGCACTGAAATGAGCACTTATAGAAAACCCGCTAAGTGCAATCATATCCCAAACCCAGCAGCAAAACTGTGAGCGTTCACAAGAAGGCTGGGTTGTGAATAAAACTTTCGCCCGACGGTACTCGAACCCGGGGTGTGGTTCATTAGGACAGAAAGCGACTTTTTCGCGTTTCGCAGCGCGAAACATTTTCCGCTGCGGGAACCTCAGGTCCACCGGTGATCGTCAGTGGACCCGAGGTGCCCGCAGCGAACAATCAGTGGACACGGGATTCCCGCAACGAACAATGTTTCGCGCTGCGAAACGCGAAAAAGTCGCTTTCTGTACTAGTGAACACACCCTCGAACCCGCACCTTCTGCTTACCGGGTAAGTGTGCTACCAGTGACGCTACCGGGGCATGATTTCATTACATCTCAGCTTTTCATGGTATACTTACCATAACTTGTCAGCACTCACTCGTATAACGTGCCAATTGGCAATGGCCGCGAGGCTGCAGGCTTTATTAATGAATTTTGTCTGTTTTTGTTTCTGGCCGCAGTTGGAATGAAATGGTGCCCCGATAGCGTAACTTAGCGCACTTGCGCAGTAAGCAAAAGGTGCGGGTTCGAGTCCTGTCTGGGGCGAAAGTTTTGTTTACAACCCAGCGTTCTTGTGAAACATTCGCAAAGCGAACTGCGGCCAAAAACGGCAGTTAACAAAGAAAAACATGTGAGCGTTCACTCTAACAATAAGTCGAGATAAAATTCGTCGCAAAGGTTTCCAAAAAGTGCATTAAAAAACTGTTTGAATCCAAGCAATTGAAACGGATAACATTCAAATCAGTGAGAGTTTCTAAACAATCGAAGATACTTACATGTTTCCATAAATAATGTAGAATTCGCCGGTGTGTTAATATAAAAACACAGTCGCCGGATCGCCGATCCAGAACTGGCAGTCGATGAATACGATGTTTGGTAAGCAATTCAACTGCATGAAATATGCTAAAATCGTGAAGTTATTCTATAAAAATAATAAATAAGGGTCTCATCCAGTAAGGGGGGCATAAAGTGGCTGCCCTCACCCCCCACCCCCTAGACTGCCTACACTCCCCCTGGCGCACAGGTTTCTCGAAGTACGGGACCCTGTGAGCCAGGGGGAGTGAAGGCACTCTAGGGGGTGGGGGTGAGGGCAGCCACTTGACGTTGCATCACAATGCCCCCCCCCTTACTGGATGAGACCCACAAATACTTGAGTGTGATGATAAAAAAACAAAAAATGAGAAAAGAAAGGAGTAAAAATGAAGGCTGCCAACAGTTTAGTCGCGCACCGTTGAGTGGCGGTCAAGAAGCTCACGTCGTGACAGAGCGGCAAAGAAGGCGTGGAAAGTGGGGTCGCGCTGCAGAATGCGCGCAAAAGGCCGCCGCGATGATGGATCATTGCGCGCTGCTTGCACTGAGTCTTATATATTAAGGACCCCACAACGCGCAACTCCCTGATAACACCAGTGAACCGTTGGGGCCAGCTATTCAGTGTGCGCGACAACCTCAAGGGACGGTACTGAGCAATCCTAACCACTCTATGAGCAGTAAACACGATGGCTGAGGTGGAGGGGGGGGGGGGGTGGAGCTATTCCGAAAACGTCATTCGCTATCATTGGCGGAAAGTGTTGCGAGGCAGTATAACCACACTCCCTACGCTCTGAGGGTGCAGTCCACCAATGACGTCCAATCACGCATCAGAACCGCTCCATCGTCTAGCTATCGTGTCCGATGCCTTTAAAACTGATCTTTTTTTTCGTCTCCGAAATAAAAAATCATGAAATAGGACGACGGCGTGCTCTGTTCTACAAAATAGGATAATCGTGCCAATTAGAAAAGCCGTAGCATAATCCACTTCTATTAGCCTTTGTTCAAGAATAAGAGTTCACTTGCCCGATAGCAACCAACTCGCATACCAGCAAAAACACTCAGAAATTTTCTGGTATCCATTGCTCATTTCCTCTTGAGGTAGGACTGATATAGATATAAACACTTTTGACATCAAGCCACTATGGTTTAAAAAGCGGCAGTGGTGTAGTGGCAAGTGGCACGCTTAACACGCGCGCGGTCCGGGAATCGGATCCTTGCTCGAGTGTCGCCCGGGCCAACCATGCCTTCCTACCTCCGAGGTCGACTAATCGGTACCGGGCTTGTCTGGGAGGATAAATACCACCGATTTGTATGTCGGCTGCCCCCCGCAAGTCATTGTATAGGCCAAATCGCATTCAAATGCCACCACGAATGTACAAATGGAAGTAGAATGCCAAAAAAGGATTGATCAATGGCAAATGCTTGTTCCTTTTTATCTTTAACTAGCTATGCGATTGGACTTGGCTGATGAATATTCACGAACCTTTCGTTTGAATTGACGCTTATAAATTCCCTCTGCATTCCTCGCATTTTCAGCAACTCTGAATAAACGAATTTTTAGATTTGCCAAAAGAACAGCATCTTGATGGGAACAGATGCCAACCTTTCCATCGACTAATCTTCATATTAGCTATATCCATTCCTTTGAACTCATCGTAACTTAACGGTTTCCCTCTCATCTCGTCAATATTCTCTCGAAATTTCCACAACATCATGAGCACCATAGTGAAATCAGTGATTGACAATACACCCATAACTTGCATTGTAGTTGAATCTGCTATAAGGCCGGTACGTGTAGCTGAAAGCAAAAATTGTATATAATAGGATAATTATATTATTTATTATATTATTTATTATTATATTATATAATTATAGCAATAATGAATTATACCGCTTGTATAGAAGATGAAATAAAACGCAAACTATCGCTCCCCTGAAACACGCGTACGCTGAAATAGGGTGACCTGTAGCATCTGCTCTAATTTAGGGGTGGGGTGGGATAAAGGATGTGACTGTTGGAATGGCAAATTTAGCCCTAATAGTCAAGAATTGTATTCACAAAAATCTTCCAGATTTCCGGAATTTTCCCCTTCTTATTTGCCCCTTCTGCTTCAGAGTTTCCAAAAGTACGACCCAAATAACGACCACCTCATCTATCTCGGCCAGCCGGTTGATGATCCTACGCCAGAATTGGGGAACATAGAGCACAGATCAAAACGCTAAGGAAATGGTTTTCACCATGATCCTGTGAAATTGTATTTTTAATTATTTATGCGATTCTGTGGAAACTGAAAAAAGCGACATAGGGGCCAAAATGCGGACGGCAAAATCCGGAATCCATGTAGCTAAACGCTAACTCCAGCTTCTCATTGTCCATCTTATTGCCGCTTAAGGAATGAGTTTATTCAAAATTCCTCGACGTTTTTCAGAATTCCTCGAGCAAAACTCTTTAAGAAATCTTCGAACCAGGGTCAGCCCTATGTTGCTACAAGTAGCAAGGGGGGGTTCGTACTTGGATGGACCTGGAGGGGGGTTGTGAGGCTAGCACTACACATTGTTGAGATGAGAGTACCCCCGCACCTTAGAATATCGATGGAAATATAGGGGAATGGGGGAAAGTGAAGGGAAATATAGGGAAATTTTGCGGTTTCATGACAGGTATATACCCCCACGGTGTTTTTTGAATGAAAACGTGGTTGTGAAGAGGGGGTCGTAAAAATATTGCAAAAAGTAGCAACGATAGGACGGGCCCTGCTCCGAACAGATATCAGCCACGATTAGACTGCGCCGAGGAAATCAGCAACACGATACTCCCCACTTGCCACTCCGATTACCTTCTGACTCACATTCGTCCCTGTCCAACCTTCAATCTCAATTATGCTGGCCACAGTCCAAGTCCGTTCAGAGAAGTTCCCTACTTACACTCAGATGTCTCTGCTAGTTGCCCACTAATTCGCCAAGATTCAAAAGGAAAGCTTGAATTCAAAAAATTGATCTAAACCCTGGCAAAGCCCTTCGTTTTTCCATTCCAGAAAAATACTACTACTGCATCTGAGCGACCCTTTTCCCAGAACGACTGATACCACTTCTATCGAGGATTCCTTGACATTGCCTAATCCTGTCCACCATTTCATTGACAGTATCTTCATTCAGAATTTGGATGATGGCACTATTGCCCTTATAATCTGATAAATTCATCCAACTCCTGCATCCTAACTTGCATGACGAGTGGACAATAAGTAATCAAATAAATAAAGAACGAGTGAATAAATAGACTTACAATTATACAATAGTCCATAGAAGGCCTTGCGTACTGACAAGTCGTCAGTGAATACAACAATTTTATTGTTGGTAGACATAGTTTCGTAACATTGTGATAATTGAAGAAAATGCGTATAAACAAGATCAGGATCATCTGAAATGTATCTATGGATTTATCCAAGAAAAATTGATGGCAAGAAAAAAGTGGACCAAAAATAAGTAGTTAATTGTTTTAAAGCCACCGGTCAGGACTAGGTGCCAAGAAGTAGTTCTAAAGTGACAAAGAGGGTTGCCCAAGCGCAGGAGGAGTGACACTTAAAGGAATCTTCCACGGACCATGGACCAGTGGGCGGGACCGGAAGTTTTAGTGACGAAATGCATGGTAGGTACGGATCCACGAACGTGAACAGGATCCACTTCGAACCTTTCCATGAACGGATCCGTACCAACCATGCATTTCGTCACAAAACCAATTCCGGTCCCGCCCACTGGTCCATGGTCCGTGGAAGATTCCTTTAAGTGTCGCTCCTCCTGCGCTTGGGGAACCCTCT